TAGATGCCTTTTATGTAAGAGTGACTTCCTGCTCCTAGTTTACTGGGGATTTTTATCATGAAAATAAGTTCAATAAAGCAAATACTCTTTCTTCATCTGTTATACCACTTCTGTGCAGTATATCTTACTTATTGGTTCAGTTTGTTATAGTTTATTAAGATTTTTATGTGTGTGTTCATGATGGCTGTTGGTGAGTAGTTTTTTTTTTTTTTTTTTTGCAAAATTCTTGCAAGTTTTTTTTTTTTTTTTTTATGTCAGTGCTATACCAGTCTCATTAAACAGATAGCCGCGGTGGCTGGGCTGGGGCAAACTGAAGCCAGGAGCCAGCACCTCCATCAGGGTCAAGGGCAGCCACTTGGATGCAGGTGCCCAAGTGCTTGGGCCATCATCTCTTGTCTCCCAGGCACATTAGCAGTGGGCAGGATTGGAAGAGCTGTGGGACTGTATTCCAGGCACTCTGATATGGCATGCAGGTGTCCCACACGATGGTTTAGCCCACTGTGCCACAGCGCATGCCCTGGCCTCCTTCAGATGTGTGTGCAGTTACTTCTCCCTGTCAGCTCGTGGAAGGTCCAGTCTGGTGTTGGAGAGATGCTTACATCCCTAGGCCAGTGCTGGAGAAGCAGACCTGCCACCAGTCCACTCAGGGGCTCCTGGGTCCATGTGCCCTCTGCTGCCCAGGCTTCCCAGAACTTGAACCACCGCCTGCACCTTCCAGCCTCTTGGCTAATGTAGTGGGGACCCTCCCATTCCGGGGTCTGTCACTCTGTGGTCCTACATGGGGACCCTTCCATTCCGGGGGTCTGTCACTCTGTGGTCCTACGTGGGGACCCTCCCATTCCGGGGTTTGTCACTCTGTGGTCCTACATGGGTACCCTCCCATTCTGGGGTCTGTCACTCTGTGGTCCTACATGGGGACCCTTCCATTCCGGGGTTTGTCACTCTGTGGTCCTACATGGGTACCCTCCCATTCTGGGGTCTGTCACTCTGTGGTCCTACATGGGAACCCTCCCATTCTGGGGTCTGTCACTCTGTGGTCCTACATGGGGACCCTCCCATTCCAGGGTCTGTCACTCTGTGGTCCTACGTGGGGACCCTTCCATTCCGGGGTCTGTCACTCTGTGGTCCTACGTGGGGACCCTTCCATTCCGGCGTCTGTCACTCTGTGGTCCTACGTGGGGACCCTCCCATTCTGGGGTCTGTCACTCTGTGGTCCTACGTGGGGACCCTCCCGTTCCGAGGTCTGTCACTCTGTGGTCCTACGTGGGGACCCTCCCATTCTGGGGTCTGTCACTCTGTGGTCCTACATGGGGACCCTCCCATTCTGGGGTCTGTCACTCTGTGGTCCTACGTGGGGACCCTCCCATTCCGGGGTCTGTCACTCTGTGGTCCTCCCCCAGGACTGTCTAATAGGAGTCTTGGGTATCTTGTTCGACCCACCAGAAGGAGAGCCCTGGGCCTGGTCTCTCCTTGGCACGATGACAGACCTAACACCTCCTCGGCACTTGGCCAGTCACAAGCCTCTGCCGCCTGTCCTGGGTGTGGGGAGCAAACCGGACTAGACTGAGTTACTGGAATTAAGACTTATTCTATGCATCTGCTCTCCCACAATATGGCGATGGGAGAGAAGTAAACAGCTTCCGCACAGCTGCCTCCAGTTCAACCAATAAACTGTAGGACTTGCTCCTGATTGGAGAGCAGCGTACTCGGCGTGTGGGCAGCCGAGTTGGGATTGGCGGAGGAGGACTATAAAGGAGGAGAGAGACGGCATGTACCGGGAACATCTAAGGGGAACATCTAGCTGAAGGAACACCTGTGCAGCCCCCGAGAAAGCCGGCCGGCGGTGTGCCGCTCCCCTGCGGAAGTGGGGAATGCGGCCAGGGGGAACTGCCCTTCCACGGAGGTGGAAGGGATAGTAGCCAACCCGGGAAGAACCAGCAGCAAACCCGGGGAGGGCCGAGCAGACGAAAGAACAGCGCAGGGTCCTGTGTCGTTCCTCCACGAAGAGGTGGAGCGACATAATGGTGCCGTGACTCGGATATGAAGCCTAGGCAGGGTTCAGTGTTGCTCCTCCATGAAGAGGGGGAGCGACATAATGGTGCCGTGACTCGGATAGGAAACCTAGCTTGGATAGGAAACCTAGGTCGGATAGGAAACTTAGGACGGATAGCAAACTTAGGAGGGAAGAAACGGGAAGAACTGGGAAAATCTCGGAGAGAGAGACTAGCAAACAGCCTAGGGAAAATATCGGAGAGAGAGACTAGCAAACAGCCTAGGGAAAAGCCGAACGAAAAAGGTGCCGGAAGAAGCTATTGAAAGCCTAGGCATAGACTCAGATACGGACTACGGGGGGAAGCTGGGAGAAATCTCTAAGGTCGAAAGCGAAAGTGAAAGCTAGAACAAACAGACTCGGATGCGGACTGTGGGGAGAGGCCAGGAGAAGTGAGGGAGGAATATTGTTGGAAGAAAACTTAGGGAAACATACCAGGTA